CAGCAAACGGCGTCAACATCCACAGCATTTATTTCATCTAAGACCTGCTCTTCCATTCATTAGATTGAACTATAGATAGTATCCACTAGGTGCAATGCTATTACAGCTATTCTGAAGTTATATGTCACATTTAGCTGTTCGTATTTGCCCTGTCAGCCATTTGGTATGTCATTTATCAAGAAGCATTTAAGAGACTTTAAATAGCATATCGGCAGAAGATGCTTGGCCACTCACAGAATGTTACTGTGAAAGTTCACTATCTCCCTGGACACTGTGTATTACAGGTTAAGTCCTGTAATAGCTTGTTGACTGATTGAAAATTCAGATCTTTAAAATGCCACAATCTCCTGCCTCCACCTAGTGGTTGCTAATTGGCTTATACCATAATTTTATTGTTTCATTACCGTCTTACATAACATAAAACCAGAGGTGTAAAGTATTGGAGTAAATGTAATTAGTTACTGTACTTGAGTATCTTTTCGGGTACTTTGTAGTTGTACTGAGTATCAAAGATATTAGCAACTTTTACTCTTTACTTCACTACATTTTTGAATGAGTATCTGTTCAATTATTATTGTATTTTGAATATGAGTATTCTTTACTCCATTTGAAATGAGTGTTGCAGTTACACATCCATTATACTGAAGAGACCTTTTTGAAAGATATTATTTGTTTGTTTTGTTTTGTAATTTTGAGGTGTTCAATTTTATTTTGGTTTCAGAAAATAAACGTGATTGCTCTCCACAAATCAGATACTCTTAAGACTTTTACTCAAGTTGTTTTGGAATTGGTGACTTGTAACGTGTAATGGAGTAATTTTAAAAATGACCAAAAATAAGGTATCTGTACTTTTACTCAAATATGGTTTTTAGGTACTCTTTACACCTGTGCATAAAACAATGTGAACTGCATCTTCAGGCATCTGCAGTAGACAGCAGCAGTTTCCCATCAGAAGAGATCAGGAGACTCCAGCAGCAGAACAGCACTCTTAGAGCAGTGGTGGCTGAAATGAGGAAAGATATGGAGAACCTGAGCCAGCAGATGCCTATAGCTCAGAGTCAGACCACAAATCCAGAACCCAGCACTGCAGGTACAAGGGGTCTCCAGACCAATAAGGAAACTAAATGATTATTTCTGTGACATATTTCCACCACTTTCAAAAATTTCTAAATGTATTCCCCTACTTGTTGGGAAATAGTCATTAGAATTAGGAATTTAAAAGAATATTCTTATTTAAATACAACAGAAAATAATTTAGGTCTGCTAGTTCACTTCTAAATCACAGTACAGTAATGCACTTACAAAGTAGTATCCTGTCAAGGATACTGTAAGTAGTGCATGAAGTGTGTTACTTGCATTTGTGTCAGAACATTTAATCTCCACCCAGTTGTATGACAGTAATTTGTCTATTTCAGGGACAGACTACAGTCAGGCTCTGGAGAAAGAGATCCAGAAGCTAAAGGCCAAATGTCGTGATCTGGAGGAGCGGTTAGAAGAGTCTTCCAAGATAGTCAATACTGCCAGCATTCCTGCCCTTACATTCCCTGTTTCCCCTGACAATACTTACCTTCAAAACCACATTAGATCACTTAATGAGACCATAGGTGATTAAAAAAATATAAGCTCAAACTTTTTGTGTAACATTGTGGATTGGTGATTTTAATGAAAAAAGTGTGTTTTCTGTGCCTCACTGGAGAAAAGATGAAGTGAGATTTTGGTTGGAGCACAGTGTTCTAAAGGAGAGTGTTTGCAGGTGGGCTGCGAGTGGAGAAAGTAGCCAATGCCGCTGCTCTAAAGAAACAGGAAGTGAGGCTGGCTCATTTGGAGTCTGCTGTGGAACAGCTTACCCAGCAGGTAATGATTTCAGTCCCTTGCCCAGGCATCTAATAATTAGAAGGCCATAATATGATGTAATTCTTGTTTAGATGGAAATAAATTTAACAGATAACACACACATACCAGTTAGCGCAGAGCCAGTATACATGATGTGCCTCCACTAGTTGCTTTTTTTTCTTATAAGTTTGTTCTTCCCTGATGTTTCATGATTAGTTACGGAGAAAGTTGGCTATATTTAATATATACTGTATATATGATTATATTTCTCCAGTGTCACTCAAAACACATGGAGAACGAGAGCTTACGTCTGGAGCTGGCCAATCACAAGAGGGCAGCAGCAGCTGAAGAAGCCAGGCTTAAGCAAAGAGTGGCAGCTACTGAGCTGGAGTTAAACGAAGTGAGACAGGAGGCAGAAGAGTACCAAAAAGGCAGTTTGCTCCACAACCTAGAGACTGTTGCACTTGGCAACCAGGCAAGTTTTAAGTACAGTATATAGAATTTAACTTTAAATAATACTTTCTAATAAGTGCAAAATAAGGCATGATCTTTCTGCCTTAAAGAGACGGGATGATTAATATATTTTCTGAATTACAATTTATCTTTATTAAACTGCAATGTATTTGTGGTCAGGTGTCAGCACTGAAGGTTGACCTTGCAAGCAGGAGAGAGTCCATTGTCCTTAACCAGGTACAGCACTGCATGTAATATAATGCACACCATAAAAAGGTTTTATAGTACAGTTACTAACTAACATGTTATTAGTTCTATGATTTAGAAATAATTTTACCCACTTGTAGAAATTTCTAAATTCATCCCCCAACTTTTTGAGAGCTAATAGAATTTTGTTTTGTTAGTGGTGCAAAGTCATGACCGGCTGAATAAAACAACAAATTTAAGCAGAAGCTGTTGCCAGCTGGCTGTATCAGCAGTTAGGACTACTGGCCAAACAGTATATCTCCTAATTAATATTTATGAGCAAAGTTAATAAAGGTGTATTATGTGTCATTCTTGTGGTTATATGATGTATTACTGACATTAATTGTCTTTTATCAGAAGTATGTTTTATGGTTGCCTAAACGAGAATGTATGTCTGGTATTCAAGAGTGAGATGGTAAAGCAGCTTCAGGAGGAGAACTTGTCCATGAGACAGCAACTGCTGCTGCTGCAGAGTTCAGCCAGAGCGGTAGCCGTGGGTGATGTTGCTACTCTTCAGTCAAAGCTCAAACAGGCTGCACGCTTGATCTCCAGCCTCAGTCAGGACAAACAGCAACTCATTGAAATGGGCAACAGGCTCCGGGCGCAGCTGATAGAAGCAGGACTGGAGGGTTGGTGTCGCTTTTGAAGCGTAATCATGGGTTTCAGTAGTATTTTCATCTAGAATGAATGAACAATATTAGATTTCCAAATGTTTTAAATTATATAAGGAATTATCTCTGGCTCAAGAGGGAAATAAAGAACTCTCTTCTGTTATTTTGTGAAAGGGCACATGGGGATAACAACCATAATTCACCTCTCATTGTTATGCTGGTGCCCCATCACAATGGGCTGATCCATGTGTTTACTAAGGGATTAAAGAAATCTTAGTTTGATTCTCAATAGATTCCAATGCTTATTTGTACCAGAAATTCTCCATGCTTTGTTTGTTTTGTCTTGATTCATATCGGTTATACTACTCATTGAAAAGTCATTCACTGGCATTGCTGAATATAAACACATCCAAATATTTTTACTTGCTACATCCTCAGTTTGATATGTCCTGTGATTTACAGACAAAATTGACATTTAAGTTATGGAAATTGTCTAAAATGAACATCAGGGATGCAAACAGTCACCTTTATGTGAAATTGCCCTCTAAAGCTTTTAAATAAGTTGTAAATAAAACAAATTTATTCAAGCATGTTTTACAAGAAAATACTATTTCAGTTTTTCTGCTTAATTTCATGTTTAATTCAATGTGTTTCTTGTTGTTTCTTTGTAATTAATAGTGAAATATGCTAGCAATTTCTGAATTAAATTTTTTTTCTTAGTTCCACGGCACTCAAAGATCACTCTCAAATCAAATTATCCAGAGCACAGTCTGGTGGAAAAAGAACCCTCTCAGTCCGAGCATGGGGTGCAGCCAAAGAGCCGCTTATCTACCCTGGAACAGTTACAGTACCAGCTAACCACTCAGGTGACTCCTGCATGAGAGACGTTCAATCAAAGCGTGCTCTCTATATTGATACAGAGAATATATTTCATCATATTAATCAGTTTGGCCTCTGTATATGTACTGATGTGAAGATTTAGACAGCTCTTATGCAATGTTATTCTTTGTCAAGGTCACTGGTGTGGCAAAAGTTAGCGATCACTCCTTTGTCAGATGTATGAAAATACATGGTTGATAATAATCACACAAGCATGAAATTTAAATACATTCGTTTTGATTCTCATTCTAGGAGCTACAATATGCACAAAGAGATCAGAATAAGAAAATGGCGATTATAGTCCGTCCCCAATTCTCTGAGAGTGAGAGTTCAGACAAACGCAGAACCGCCAACCCATGGGAGCCTCCAATCAGAGTCCAGGTACTATGACATCTTCACCACCCCATAAATATATTTTATATATTATAACATACAGTATTTTACACACACACTACCGTTAATTTTTTTTATACTTTTATTTGGCAAGGATGCATTAATTTTGTCAAAATTGAGATTTATAATGTTACATAAATGTCTGTTTCAAAGTTTCCACCAAAATATTAAACGGCACAACTGTTTTCAACGTTGATAATAGTAAGTAAGGCTTTTTGAGCACCAAATCAGCATATTTGAATGATTTCTGGAGAATCATGACACTGAAGGCTGCAGTAATGGCTGCTGAAAATTTACCCTTGCCATAACAGGAATGAATTTGAAAATATATTCAAATAGAAAACTGTTATTTTAAATTGTAATAATATTTCACAATATTACAGTTTCCACTGTATTTTTGATTAAATATATGCAGCCTTGGTGAGCATAAGATACTTTAATAAATCTAGTTGACCCCAAATTTATGTAATTTTATTGGTTGTAAACAGTGTGAGTCTGTTGTTGTTGTTTCAGTGTTTGAGTTCCTTTTCTCTGTTCTTTCCTCAAGTCTGTGGGCAGTAAAGAAAACACTCCTCCGCAGAACCAATCTGAAGCTCCGGTACCACTGCCCGGGTCATCGCACTTTCTGTTGTCACCCATAGGCGCTGATGATTCCCTACAGAATGTGTGGAAGATGTTAGATCAAGGTTTGAGTTCCTCTGTGTTTTCTACAAGTGACAGTGAGTACAAAGGTGAGCAGAAAAGTCATAAATGAGCCACTTCAATCTTCAGACCATTTATATTTAAACATAAGTATTTTACTGCACCTGCTATGTTCCCAGAATGAGACATTTAACTGCAACAAAATACAAGTTAGTAAGCTAAAAACATGATCAAGCAACTTCTTTTGTAGTTCTCCTCTCATTACTAAACTGAATATCATTTATTGACTGTTTAGTCATGCTGAATGAGTAAACCGATTACTGCACACGTTCTTCTGCGTGTGTAATTTCATCATTTGATTTGTCAAGGCAAAAGATAAGAATAGCTTTGAGAACTGGGGGAATCACGACAGAGCAGCATGATTGGACTTGAGGCCAAATGAAAGTTGCCCAATCTATGGTCATAATGCTGATTAGACCATAAAGCCATTTGATTTTTGTAACCAGTCAGACCTTCTCTTACATTATCTTATACTGGCATAGATCTGTCCTGACAGGCTGATTGTGAATGAGAATAGTCTATACAGGCATAATATCTCTATTGTGGCTCTTTAACAGCTGTCACTTCATGGTGGTACATCAGTTTCATCAGACAACTGATGAAGCCATTTAGAGGAGTGGCAAATGTCTTCAATAAATTGAAAACAAAGTCCAGTTCACTAAAAATATACCATACATGATTTTCACTTCTCTGTACCCTGGACAGACATTTGCATCATTTGAAAACCTTGGCACTGAAACAGGTACTTGCAATGGCAACTCTGTGATCATGCAACCAAAGGATCAGTGTCAGCGTTGCTTCATAGTACATCATTTAGTCCAAATATCAAATTATATGTACTTAGAGAACATTTCAGCATCAGTCACATGCTCAAGTGAAGAGTTTGGATTTTTGCACCTCTGTCAGAAAGATTAAAGATGGTGTCATTGACCTCTATTTGGGTCAATGGCAAATGAGGATATCTGAGAGGATAAGAAAAGTCTTTTAAAGATTTTTTTATTTTTTATTTGAAACACATGTAAAACACAAGTTCATAGAAATGTAATCTTTTTATTCGTCTTTGTCTTGAAAAAAAGGTTTTTACTATTTTCTACAACAATCTTGATAGTTTAATCAGGTGGTTTAATCATTAAATGTATTAATGTAATATATATATACACACACACACACACACACACACACACATGGTCAGAATTGTTGGTACCCTTGGTAAATATGATACATATGATCAAAGAATGCTATGAAAATAAATCTGCATTGTTAATCCTTTTGATATTTTATTTTAAAAAATCACAAAAATCTAACCTTTCATTGGAGAATAAGAATTTAAAATGGGGAGAAATATCATTATGAAATAAATGTTTTTCTCTAATACACATTGGGCACAATTAACGGTACCCTTTTATTCAATACTTTTTCAAACCTCCATTTGCTAAAATAGTATAGGAGTTTTCTCCTATAATGCCTGATGAGGTTAGAGAATACCTGACAAGAGATCAGAGACCATTCCTTCATCCAGACTCCAGACCCTTCAGATTCCCAGCTCCATGATGGTGCTTCTCCTCTTCAGTTCACCACACTCATTTTCTATAAGGTGCAGGTCAGAGGACTGGAATGGCCATAGCAGAAGCTTTGTTTTGTGCCCAGTGACCCATTTTTGTGTTGTTTTAAGGTTTGTTTTTAGATTATTGTGCTGCTAAAAAGCAAATTTTTTAGTTACATCTGACCATAGAAGCCAATCCCGTTTGAAGTTCCAGTCGTGTCTGACAACTGAATATGCTGGGGATTGTTTTTGGATGAGAGCATTTTCTTTTCTTGATTTATTTTTTCTTGAAACCCTCCCAAACAACGTGTGGTGATGTAGGTGCTGTTTGATAATCTTTCTTAAGGTTTTCTGACCCCGAAACTCAACCTTTTTCTGCAATTCTCCAGCTATAATCCTTAAATGGGAATTTTCACTGCTCTAGCTCTTTTCTTAAAGTCACTTTCTAATTTGTGAAGCTCAGTTATCTTTTGCTGCACATCAGAAATATATTCCTTGGTTTTTCTCATTGTGATGGATGATTAA